AGACTGCTTTCTGTCTGTGCTGCCTTCACTCGTAACTCTGTCCTGTCTGCAATAATCTTCTGATATCCAGGTTTTAAAACTGGAGATTTTAGTAATGTATTGATTTTTGCAGTAACGCAGTAATGTAACACATTACTAAAAGAAAATCTGTAGTATTATACCCGTTACACTCTCAGTAACGCTTGTTACAACACATTTAACCTGCAATTAAGTGGTGTTTAGTTTTCTTTATAATTCACTAACACAGACAAACATTTCAGCAGCAGAAAAACAAAAGTAGTGTAAAGCATACCACACACACACACTCTTACCTTGACACAGAACAAAGATCCATGAACATGCGAACAAAACCACAAGTGGAGCTGATGTTAAAGCAGCCGTGACAGACTGAGGTGCAGCAGCTGGTTAAACTGAAACCAAACTGAGTTCTTCTTCCTGCTCTTTAGGTTTTGTTCACAACAGACTGCCCATATGATAATTAACAGTGGTAATCTCTCACCAGTGGAATGTCATGTTGAGTCAGACATTTGTTTATTGAGAGAGGGCCACAGAAGGTGGACACAATAACATGAACACTGCTATAATGTGTCTTTATATAAATAGAAAATAGAAAATCCCCCTCTCACCCCTTGCGGGCTGGTATGTGTCATCCTCAAGCTCGGGTCCCCGGGAGTTTGAGGGTTCTGCGCAGTATCTTAGCTGTTCTAGGACTGCACTCTTCTGGACAGAGACTCTGATGTTTTACCTGGAATCTGCTGGAGCCACTCTCCCAGTTTGGGGGTCACAGCCCCCAGTGCTCCGATCACCACTGGCACCACTGTTGCTCTTACTTTCCACATTTTTTCTAGCTCCTCTTTCAGCCCTTGGTATTTATGCCATCCGAAACCAATTAGGGCGGAGTGTGGGTCGTTAAACCCTCCAATCAGTGGCGGCTGTGAAAATATTTTAGGTGGGATTGTGCCATATCCAGTTAGTGTCAGTCCCAATACAATTTAACACAAACAGCAGGATACCAGTACTGTGAAATAGTCAGAAATTATTTAATGCCAATATTATATTAATATACAAAAACATAAACAGTGAACATAAACAGAGAAAGTGGCATGAAAAGAAACACTCAAGTAAAGTACAAATAGGCTACGTCTAATTTGTACTTCAGTACAGTAGGCCTACTTAAGTTACTGTCCACCACTGGAAATAACCGCATCTTAACATTTCAGAGCTGCCCATAAACTATACATACATGTATGTGTATGTGCACTGTATCACAACCACCGCCGAAATGTACATAATAATAACAATAATAATTTTCCCCCTGCATCCTTTTCACTCTGCTCATTGCACTCTGCACTATTGTCTCAATCTGTTTGTTTTTGTTCATAGTGTGTGTGTGTGTGTGTATATATATATATTTGTGTTTTCTATACTCCAGCCTGTGTTATTATTGTCTTATTGCATAAATAAGCACATCGTGAGCATTGTTCAGAGTCAAATTCCTCGTATGTGTACACATACCTGACAATAAGGCTGATTCTGATTCATCTTACCTCTGTTGTACTTCTTATCGATGTACCACACACAAGCACAAGCACCGACTGACAATGGATGAACATATCAAGATGTCTCATCTGCCTGAATCACAGGATATTCTGCATTTTTTTACTTCCTCCAGAATGTAATCTGTAAGAATGGACAACACACAGTCCGAAAGTTCGTTTTGCACAGTCTTCGGGGTGCCTTTGAAAGTTCCACATTCATCATTGTCTGACCGACTGACTGTGCTTGGGGCAGATCCTGGGGGCGAGTTGAATCTCAAAACGTTTTGGATTGGGTAACACCCTGAGACCCACCAAACGGGAGCCAACATACCTTGAAGCCCGTTACACAAAGTTGCTCAACACTGCAAGGAAACATGTCGTTCAATACAAAAATGTTGCAAAACGTTTTGATATTCAACTCGCCCCTACTGTTGTGCACTAACCGGAAATGACTATAGCAAGATTGCGCAATTCCCCAAGCACAGAGGCCGCCTGCAGAGCTCCAAAATAACAACCATAATGTTGTTATCATCTCTTAATTTAATTTAAACTGCCCAAATGTGATGACAGAATAACAGCAGTACGAACATTTTAACTATCTTCCAGCTGTGTTTTCTCTGCCATTGTTGCTGCAGCGGTCTGTGTGACTGAGAGCAGAGGGCTCCGCGCGCGGACAGCTGGCCGGCCTCTAGCTCCTCCCGCGGGTCTGCAGCTCTTCTTTCAGAAAGGTCACAAAGGGTTAACAACACGGACGTGCCTCAGCCAATCAGAGCGCGCCGGTCAGACGCTGGGTGACACTGTGGGGAGAGGAGCTGCTTCTGAACGACGTAGCTCAGATTCAACAGTGAAATAACTTTAGTGACTTGTTTTAAGACTGCAGGTGTGTGAGGTCCTGTTCACGGAAACCTGCCGGATGACAGAGAGAAATCCCCGAATCGGTGAGTCGCGGTGAAACAAAATAATTGAATGTTGCGTCATGAGATGCTAAGCTAGTGCTAAGCTAGCGCTAAGCTAGTGCTAAGCTAGCAGGTTCTGTTGTAGACCTCAACTAAAGTTAATCTGTTTGACAACTCAACGGAGAGAGTATAAACATGTCGGAGACAGACGCTCCCGGTACCGGGGGGCAGTGGTGCTCTGGGCGAAATTATTGATGGAAATTTATTATTATTTTATTTCGCCGTTTTAACTCCGAAACCAGCCGATATTGTTGCTCCGAGTCTGAGCGGGCGCCATCTTGATTATTGCGCTGTCGTCTTTTTCTGCAGAGAGGAAACATGTCGCTTGAGAACACGCGGTGTTTTTCGTCTTTTTGTGGCCGATCCGTTGGAGATATGTAGACATGTAGGGTATCAAATTAAAGGTCTGCTCAAGCCCCATCACTGTAAAGCATGGGAGTGCTTTTGGTGACAGGAATGTTGATGAATACTCCTGTTTTCAACTTTTTAACAGTAAATATTGCCAAAATATGGACATTCGCCTGGCAATTTGAAAATGTTGTATGAAAACTGTTGTATTTTAGTTTATTTTCATCAGATTTACAGTTACAATTGCAGTCTAGGTGTATTAAATGATATTCAGTTGCATTAACAGCTTCCTCATGATGGTTTTGATGCTTTATTGTATTAAAATATAGTTAGTTTTTTTTACGAGATGAAGATAAAAATAACAGATTTTTTTCTTTATTGCATTGTAAAATAAATATATTAATATACAATGGATTTATATTCCTTAGCTTCTGACTTTACAAAGGAGACCAGAATTATGCTCTAGGCCAAATGGTTGATTAATTTCCTGATTAATTTTGGGTATGTTATTTTAGGCGTCTTTTCTGGAAAATGGTGCCTGTTTTCAACAGGTTAATTGCACAGTGTTTGAGGCTAATGTTAACTTAAGTTATGTTTTGTCAGACATTGTATTTCATTGTTCATGGTGAATTTGTTGCAGTTGCACTGCGTGGTTTTATTTTCTGCAACGTTGTTGCTTTTTTTTTTTTAAACTAAAAACTTTATTTTACTCAGTAATTAATTTGATGTAAAAGGTACATTTAAGAAATGTTTGTTCCATTTGCAATATGTGTGTATATTTTGGTTACAGTTAAAGGAATGAACACTTCAGAAACACATTTGAAGAGGCTATTGACTAATGAACTATTCTGGCCGTGTCTGACTGCAGGCCAGGTTTTTTTACCTTAGTTAAAATTGATGGCGAGCCAACCCAGATGAGACCAGAAGATCCCTGGGTTGAAGACCCCTGAAGTGAGAAACTCTGAGCCAAGGACTACTGATCTTACCCCTCACCTGCTACAGCGGTAGGACAACCAGCACCACTTTTACACTCAACTTCCAGCACCACTTGCACAACCCCACACTTAGGACTCTATTTTTTATTTTATTTTGCACTTGGACAATTACCTTCCTCCTCCTGTTTGGAAACGCATCCCTGGTTTCTGCAGAAGTGAGTATTCTCACGGTTTATATGATGTATTATGATGTCCTGGTTATTGTGATTTTGGCGATCATAGAGTGAAAAGTGATTTTTAACTTGTGAAGTGACAGTATTGAAACAGGTATTGTTTAATGTGGTCATCCACCGGATGTGAATATTGAGGATTGATAGTTTGAGTTAATGATAATAGAGTGCACTAGTAAGAAAATAAGAGAAATAGTTGAGAATTGACCAGCTAAAAAATAGAAGTAGTTAAAAGAGCTCAGTGGTTTAAACCTTACAGAACCGGCCCCATCGGACCAGTCCGTTTGAAACTTACTGGCCCTCCTTCCAAAAGTTATTTATCAGTGTTACAACAAAACCAAAGACTTATAAGTTATGTTCTGCTGCTAACATCGGTTATTAAATACATCCTGGATATAAAAAACCTAAACTAAAATGATAAAAAATAAAAAAGTTAACAAAACAATTTACTTTTAAAACAAAACGGACTCAAACATGATGTGCTCTTTCTCCTGCTGACTGCCATTTAATAATGAAAACCAAATGTACACAGAGCAGTGGATGCAAGTCACCTCTATCCTGATTGACAGGTTGCCATGGTAGCGACCTGTCAATCACAAGGTAGTCCCGCCCAAAAGCATTTGCTGTATTATCGTCTATTTTCCCCTTAAAGCCCCCTCCAGCCAGTTTTAACTGCCGTTTTTGGTTAACGTTCTTTCTCAAATGGAGAATAAGGGTGTGGTTTGTAGTCGGACGTAATCAATTACCATGACAACCAAAACTGGCCGGCTGGAGTCTTCACTTACGATATGCTGTGTTAATTACTGTAGTCATACGTCACAACCCCGTTTTAACAACTAAGCAACTTTTGCAACTTTGAGCACAAAATTAAACTATTTGTAAAAAACACTCTGGAGGTGCTTTAAACGGGACCATAATTTACTAAATGAACATCATGCTGTGTTGAAGACTTGAAAGTAGCGGATGAGACCATAAACTCAGTAGGAAAGTGTTTACTGAGGTAATAAATAAGCTGAGAAGTATGTTTTTAATCACTGTCTTCACTGAATAATTGAATAAAAGGAGGTTTTCCCACATGATGGCAGCAGTTTTTGTTAAACGGTGAAGAAGTGTCCCCTGGTGCTTCCTGCTCTTTACATATTTAATCTCCTCTGTTTGCGTCCCTTCTCGTACGTTCATGTGTCAAATGGAAAAACCAGAGAGGAAAATGAAAGCACGAGAGTCCCGGCGGCTGTTTTCACAGAGACGAGTGATGCAGATTGATTCATATGCTGACAGATTACCAGCAGTCGCAGGATGCTGCTCCAGCTTGAATTCAAACAAGATCGCTGAGGGAGTTATTTTACAGCTAAAGCCTCTCCGCAGTCTCTATAGGAGGCAGTAGGAACGAGAATTTCAGCTTTACAGGAATAAGGATTTCCATAAATTATAGGCCTACAAGTATAATTTTGAGGTACTTGTACGTCACTTGAATATTTCCTTGTTGTTCTACTTTGTTCTATAAAATATTTTGGAGGCAATATCTACTGCATTTGACTGCTGTATTACTACATTTACTTAATATATCTGAATACTTTTCCCGCCACTGGTTATACTTTTATCTTTTCAATTAATTGACGAAGCAGTTGTTGTACAGTATGGTTGAAAATGCCGAATGACCCCTGTTGTATTTTGTGACATCCCACTAAAAGTTTTTAAATTCATATAAAGAGAAGCAGCAAATCCTCAACTGAAACCAGAGAATGTCTGACATTTGTAGGCTGCTTGATTAATAAGTTAAACGATTGATCAGTTATCATACCTGTAGACTGGAATATCTTACTAGACTGTTTCAGCTTCATTGAGAAATATCCTGTAAAACTCCTTTGATAAATGTCTAAAAGCACTTGAGAGGACACATGCTCATTTTTCAGAAATTAAAGGCAAAAGGTAAAAAATTATATAAAAAAAAGAGATAAATGTAGTGAAGGAAAAAAAACAACAAACACAATGTCCCTCTGAGCTCTAAAGAAAAAAAAAAAAGAAACAAGTCTGAGAAACAGAACCTGGACTGAATGTCCTTTAAATAAAACTGTCGGTGCCTTTAAAACAGCTCTGACACGCACGACCCAGAACTGCGCACATGCATGGACTTAAAGTCAGAGAGCATCTGCCGGTAAACAGGCTGTAAAACTATTTCACCTCCTGCAGGAGCACGAGACAGAAAAACAGAAGGAGGGGAGGAGCAGAGAGGGAATTAGCTTACCAGTAGAGAAGAGACAGCCCATCGAATCGCTCCGCGTCCCGAGGAAGAAATGGCATCGCAAGACGGTCTGAGACCAAAAAAACAAGCGCACACCACTCTCACACACAAACACACGTGCAGAGCGCTACACCGCCATGAGACGGCAGCGGGAGGGTCGGAGGGGGAGAGGAGGAGCAGAGGGTTCAGACCTGGTTGGTGTGTGCGACTGGAGGGAGGAGGAAAGTGATGGAAATCCCCCCCTGGACAGGGAGAGACACACGCTTACCTTTACCCACTAATCAATGCTGATACCCGTCCGTCTCACACACACACACACACAACGTAAGCGCACACAAAGAAAATGTCAGATGAGAAGGGAAGAGTTAAGGGTCTGTATTCGTTTTACTGCGCATGCAGTGGTGAATGCGCAGTAAAAGTATAACTGGCCGGGAAAAACACTTCTTTAACCTTATTTTGGGGCAAAGTTGTTTAAACTCTTTGAGCGATTATCAGATTTTAATGCTGATTCTGTTGATGTAGTTTTTGCGTCCCAGTGACCAGTATAAGGGCAGTTCTGGCTCTCTCCCTGTTCCTTTAGACAGGAGCCTCGTGTCAGTCAAAATAGCTGCCCGGAGGCGTTGCCAAGATGGCGGCTGAGCGGCTTTCTTATTACTTCTTATTAGGCCTCAGAAAGCACGTTTGCGTACACATGGGCATACAGACACTCCACGCAACTGTGAAACTTCTGCCTTTGATCAGCACCACAAAATGTTCTTATATCTTCTATTATTATTTTATTTATCAATTAAATATTTATTTTGTTGTTTTACCTTCAAGAATTAGTTTGATTACAACGTTAATATTATTTTAGTGGATTTGAGTACGTATTTGGGCTTTTGTTTTGAAGGTACTGGACAGCTCGGCAGATTAATCTCATTACATTTAGCACCGATTTTTAAATCTGTAAAAACTCAACATACAGTGGGTACGGAAAGTATTCAGACCCCTTTAAATTTTTCACTCTTTGTTTCATTGCAGCCATTTTCCAAAAATCAAAAAAGTTCATTTTATTTCTCAGTAATGTACACTCAGCACCCCATCTTGACAGAAAAAAACAGAAATGTAGAAATTTTTGCAAATTTATTAAAGAAAAACTGAAATATCACATGGTCATAAGTATTCAGACCCTTTGCCGTGACACTCATATTTAACTCAGGTGCTGTCTATTTCTTCTGATCATCCTTGAGATGGTTCTACACCTTCATTTGAGTCCAGCTGTGTTTGATTATACTGATTGGACTTGATTAGGAAAGCCACACACCTGTCTATATAAGACCTTACAGCTCACAGTGCATGTCAGAGCAAATGAGAATCATGAGGTCAAAGGAACTGCCTGAAGAGCTCAGAGACAGAATCGTGGCAAGGCACAGATCTGGCCAAGGTTACAAAAAAATTTCTGCTGCACTTAAGGTTCCTAAGAGCACAGTGGCCTCCATAATCCTCAAATGGAAGACGTTTGGGACGACCAGAACCCTTCCTAGAGCTGGCCGTCCGGCCAAACTGAGCTATCGGGGGAGAAGAGCCTCGGTGAGAGAGGTAAAGAAGAACCCAAAGGTCACTGTGGCTGAGCTCCAGAGATGCAGTCGGGAGATGGGAGAAAGTTGTAGTACGTCAACCATCACTGCAGCAATCCACCAGTCGGGGCTTTATGGCAGAGTGGCCCGACGGAAGCCTCTCCTCAGTGCAAGACACATGAAAGCCCGCATGGAGTTTGCTAAAAAACACCTGAAGGACTCCAAGATGGTGATAAATAAGATCCTCTGGTCTGATGAGACCAAGATAGAACTTTTTGGCCTTAATTCTAAGCAGTATGTGTGGAGAAAACCAGGCACTGCTCATCACCTGTCCAATACAGTCTCAACAGTGAAGCATGGTGGTGGCAGCATCATGCTGTGGGGGTGTTTTTCAGCTGCAGGGACAGGACGACTGGTTGCAATCGAGGGAAAGATGAATACGGCCAAGTACAGGGATATCCTGGACGAAAACCTTTTCCAGAGTGCTCTGGACCTCAGACTGGGCCGAAGGTTTACCTTCCAACAAGACAATGACCCTAAGCACACCGCTAAAATAACGAAGGAGTGGCTTCACAACAACTCCGTGGCTGTTCTTGAATGGCCCAGCCAGAGCCCTGACTTAAACCCAATTGAGCATCTCTGGAGAGACCTGAAAATGGCTGTCCACCAACGTTTACCATCCAACCTGACAGAACTGGAGAGGATCTGCAAGGAGGAATGGCAGAGGATACCCAAATCCAGATGTGAAAAACTTGTTGCATCTTTCCCAAAACGACTCATGGCTGTATTAGATCAAAAGGGTGCTTCTACTAAATACTGAGCAAAGGGTCTGAATACTTATGACCATGTGATATTTCAGTTTTTCTTTTTTAATATTTGCAAAAATTTCTACATTTCTGTTCAAGATGGGGTGCTGAGTGTACATTACTGAGAAATAAAATGAACTTTTTTGATTTTTGGAAAATGGCTGCAATGAAACAAAGAGTGAAAAATTTAAAGGGGTCTGAATACCAGGAGTAGTCTTTATTAAATAAAGATATTAAAAAGAGGATCATACAGTGGGTACGGAAAGTAAAGTTTTTATTATACGTGTCTCCTTATATGTTTGTATACTGTTCTGTATACGTATGTCCATGTAAACAGTAAATGAACGCACAATCAGTCACTGCTCACTCCTCCCTTTGCTA